CAGATCGCCACATTACGGATCATCATTGAACAAAGCTTGGAATGGCAGTCACCTCTCTATCTCAACTTCATCGACTTTGAAAAGGCCTTTGATAGCGTCGATCGAGAGGTGATTTGGCAACTACTTCGCTACTACGGGGTGCCACCGACAATTATACATCTCATACAACAGCTGTACGACAATGCTGCATGCCAAGTAATCCACAACGGGAAACTTACGGAATCCTTCGAATTGAGGACAGGAGTAAGACAAGGCTGCCTACTGTCGCCAATGATTTTCCTGATTGCAGTAGATTGGATAATGCGACAAACAGCAGCCAATGAGGAAACAAGCATAAAATGAACTCACACAAAAAATTTGGAGGATCTGAACTTCGCCGATGATATATGTCTGATTTCCCACAAATTGGAAGATATGCAAGCGAAAAGCAACAAGTTGGCAGAAGAAGCATCCGGAGAAGATAAGACTTAAGGTGTACATAGAGAAAACAGAGGTGATGAAGATTCCTGGGCAACACGACCAACAGCAACAACAACAACATACAACAATTAGCATAATTGGAAGGAACCTGAAAGAAACAACCTATTTTACCTACCTAGGAAGCATCGTTTCAAATACAGACGGAACTGACGAGGATATCAAAGCAATAATCGGAAAAGCAAGACAAGCTTTCACAACTCTCAAGTCTGTGTGGAGGTCAACGGCACTCAGCATCAAAAATACGATCCTGATTTTCACCTCCAATGTGAAGTCAGTCAGTGCTACTATACGGATCAGAGACTTGCACTGCGCGTCATAAAGAGCATCTCAAACAAACTACAGACCTTCATCAACAGTTGTCTTCGCTCAATACTCAAGATCAGATCGCCGGCCGGAAAAGATCAGCAACAGGGATCTCTGGAAATGAGCGAACCAACACAGCAGGAACCGATTGTGAAACAAATATGCAGAAGGAAATGGAGATGGATTGGCTGGCCATACTCTGAGGAAACCATCAAGTGACATCACTAGACAAGCCATTGCTCGAGTGGAACTCGAAAGGGAAGCGGCGAGTTGGTCGTCAGTGCAAGGGTGACTTGGACGAGGTCATGTGAAGAGGGGATGAAAGCGTGTGGGCAGACATGGAGCCAGGTGAAGACTCTAGTAGAGAACCGGACGCAACTGAGACGCTTGGCTGAAGCCCTATGTTCCCCTAGGAATTAAAGGAAACAATAATTATAATAATCAGCAAGGGATTTATGCCAGCAGAGCTTGATGAAATTACAGACGACACTTATTTGCTCTGATTATTATTTTTCTAAATATTTCATGGAAATATTCAAGTCTCTAGAAATCTACTATTATGTAAGCTGATTGGGTGATCGCAGTATGAAGTATATTTTAATCATTTCAACTGTTCATTTCAGAAAAAATGAAAATATATTGCAAGCCTGAAATCTATTTTCGTTATACTGTTATCGTTCCATATAATATATAAGTTGTGAATGTAAAGACAGTGGTGCAAAAAATTATTATAATAATGATCTTTCTATTCATAGTTTTTAGAAAAGAAAATCCTCGAGAATCATAGGACTTGGACATAACAAAGGATATAAATCATTCTAAATTATCTCGATATCCTCACGTGCATTGAAAAAAATGTTTGCAGTTAATTAAACTCTGCATGATCTTGTGGAACTTCTCATTCTATCTACAGTCCGTTTTTCGTAATGACGTAGTTCCAAACTTGTGATCAATGAGGTTTCTACGCATCCCAGTACTACGAACCATTCGCTCACTGCACTCAGTTTAAATTCTTCATATCCCTTCAACACAAATACAATAGGAAACATGTTTGAGAAGCAAGTAAAACGGAAACACGAAGTAATATATTTATATATATACATATGTGTATATATTTTTTTAATTTTGATTATAGCTTGATTCCACATCGTACTTTTGGTACAAGTATGGAATTTTCAGCATGTGATATCGGTAGCCAAAATATTGCAGGCCAACCATTGATATCAGGTGTGCGTTGGCGGGGGATCGAACCCAGGATTATATGCATGGTGAGCGAGCGTCCTAACCACTGTGCCAATGACGCACAGAGATAAAATATGCAATCATAGATTTCACCCTTTACAACTTTTAGAAAACTTAAAAGAGTTTTATATTAAAGTTCTATCAAGCGGATTAGACAAAGTCAAAGATGCAAGAGAATGGACGCACTAATTAACCTAAAGTGGCCAGTCAGAGTAAGCCGAACCAAAATGATTGAAATGGAAAAACCAGCGTATTTTTGAAAGAGATGTCTAGTATACTCCCTATCTTGTAGGATTATGGGTATCCATCAAAATGTCTATCCTGTAAGGCTGAGGGTTAGGAGTCAACGTAAGTATTAGGAGGCAGGGGTTACAATCAGATTCTAAGGACTTTTCCGAGACTAAATGTTCCAGGTAAATTCTGAAGAAAGTTTCTTAATAAAACTGACTTCAAAATTGTAACATAATGCCATTCTTTCCATAAGATCTGAATCACCAGAACACACCATTTCATTAGATTCTTGGTTTCTGGTTTCTCTTCCGTTGATTGGCTTGGAATATGAGGTCATTCAATGATTACCTCAGGGTATATCCGATTTATCTCCATTTCCATCTGCATATTCGTTAGACAACACGTTCTTGTCTGGCTGTTTACTGATTGATCATCCATTCCAACTGGCCATACCATCTTCACTATAGGAACAGGACCAGGTTGCCAGTGCAGATTTGCAGCAGAATGTTGGAAATGCCCTCAGTGATGCACACGGAAAGTCTTCAGACAGTACAGAAGCACTGATGTGACATTAGTGTTGAAAATTCCGATATTGTTATTCGTAATATGTGCTGTAACTCTCTAAACTGATTCCAGAGTAATAAACATCTGCCATGCTTTCTTCATGCTGGCTGATAGACATTTTCATTCGCATCGCTTGTAATTAAAACGGTCCTATGCAGATAAGACGACTTCGTTCGAATTCCTTCGGTTGAAGGTGATGGGTAATGACCTTTGTCACCTCTGTCTTCCCTATGTTCACTCGTAGTTCCGCTTTATTACCCCCTCTGTCAGCTTGATGCATTTCGTTTGTAAGCCAGTGAGTTTGTGTGAAATGAAGTACAAATCTAAACAAAGCAACAACTACAGATTTAGCAGAATAAAATGGTACCATATTTTATTTCGTCGCCTTCTCTTCAGCTGCTTACAGGGCAAAAACATTATTAAATGTATCTACAATAACAATTTATCATACTTACACAGAGTTCATTTTAAACAGAAATCAATCGATCAATATACACATACACTAATAATATATACATATATATATGCAATATTGAACACAATTCCGAGCAATAATAATCATACAAAATGAAAACTTTTCAGTATCTCGCATTAGGATGAAAAATATCCAGTTACCAGGGCAAAGAAAGACTGATAACTGCTTCTTTCTGAACGCACAAATCAGGTTTTAGGCGCTTGATGGAAAAGGCTTCAGCAAACTTAAGGAGCATTGAACTCTTTTGCTTATTGATAATTTTGAATGACTTTTCCACGTCCACCTCATGACCCGTGTCAAGAAGATGCCTGGCGATGGCACTGCCTAAAGCATTTGTTCCCTTTAGACGTAAGCTTTTTGGTACATGTTCAGAAAATCGTAGATATGCTCTTCTTTCTGTTCTTCCAATGTAACTGCTCCCGCAGATACATGTAAATTTGTATATACAGTTGGAGTTAACATGAGAAGGATATCTATCGATTTTTGATTGCACCAGAGAGCAAGTTGTTCGAAAGACGGGAACGAGCTTAGCTGCAGGATAGGCTATGGCTAGTGATGTACTCAGCCTTCTGTTGATCATCGCTGTAATGTTTTCGCCTTTATAATCAAGCTCAAAGTAGATTGGCTTTTTTCTTACTGTGATTTGTTTTTCATTTGCGACTGCAGATCTTCCATGCTTGTTGATGAACCTTTGAGGGTACCCATTGCTCTTCAAAGTCTTTTCAAGAAACTCAAATTCTTCCTCTAGTTTCTCTGTAGAACATATTCTTCTCGCTCTATAGTACAGAGTCTTGACCAGTGCTCGTTTATAGCTATTTGGACAAAAGCTATTAAAATTTAAGTATTGTCCATGCCCAGTAAGCAGCTGAAGAGAAGGAGACGAAATAAAATATGGTACCATTTTATTCTGCTAAATCTGTAGTTGTTGCTTTGTTTAAATTCATTAAGGGGAACAAATGTATGAAGTACAAATCACCTGCAAAATCCAGATATTCTGTGAGCTTTATGTCAGTCCAACAAATGACCGCCTTCTCGCTCCCCATATCCTGCCGCATGATGCAGTCCAACACAGATAGGAAAGTGATCGATGACAGTAGGAGACCTCGTCTTACTCATATCTTTACTTGATACACTTCACTCGGCTATCTGTCGTGAATAAATTGGCATGCGCCGCCATCTTATAGCTTCTAAAGAGCGTTTGTAAACGCCTGAGTCACTGCACTTCGTCTCGTTCGGGTGGTTAACAAATTACTTCATGGTTGCCTCTATAGAAAGTCTTTCAAAATGGTTTAGCTTAAGGTAATTAGTTGACCGGACTTTCAGACTGTGTCTGATACTCGCAATTAGTATTGCTATTCAGAATTATACGATATGTCTTCACTGAATCCAGTCTGCATCTGACAGAATCCTCCATCTAGTGCATCTTTTTAATCTCCACGATAAGGTGGCTTAACAGTTTGCTTGGGTGGACAATAGCCACGTCAGTCTTTACATTGACGTCGGTTGCCTTTCTCTGACAGCTTGACAGAGTTACGTTTCTCGTAGTCATCAGGTACCTTTCTTTACTCCCAAACCTTCTTCAGTAGTAGAGTCAGTAGGTGGTCAACTATGGTTTCCTAGTCTGTTTTCAGTGTATTATTACATACGAAAACTTTGACTGGCTGCCTCCATATCATTCGTAATCTCGTCCTCTTGGAACACTAAACTAACCTGTACATATTACTTGACTTACCAGTTCATGTGGTTTTATATAGTAGAAGTCTTTCGCTTGCAAAAATATCAGACCAATATGATTGTAATATTTGACTGTAATATGGGAAAGTTAGACACGGTCGAAATTCAATTAGTCAAAGACACAGTAAAATACTTCATCAAAGAAACATTTGCTTATTTGAAATACCTACATAGTCAAACGATAAAATAAGAACTCTAAAGGTGGATAATTCAGATTCGACTTGTGCTATAACAAATAGAATTATCAAAGCTACAGTGTGAAATTGAATTTACAACTCAGGACTTCAAGCAACTTTTGTTGGTACTCTGTCTACTCTCATTAACAAAAATGCCTCAGGTGAACTTAACACCGAATCACTGAAGTTAGTCATTTCACAACTTATTTGTTCTTCAGAAAATAACACTGACTCTTAACAGTTCAATCTGTGGACTGGCACCAAAACAATTTGGAATCATCACTGAACCTTTGAGAAGCAATAGGTTTTGTAAAGTAGTAAGATCACTAAAAGTGTGCTAATAATGATTCTCAGTTAGCAGAATTTCAATAACCTCGTGAATTGAGAATGTCTATGAGTGCCTGGTAAATATACTCAGCTTGTTTCATTAATATAATTTTGCTTTGCAAAGAAAAAACATTATCTGATGACTGGTGAAATTATTTTTTATATAAATATTCAGATAGAAATACTCTCTTCGAGTGTGACTCACAAAAATATGCACCAAGAATCATCTGAATCCAAACAATTAATCTAGCCAAGAAAAACCATTTCCGTGGACGGAAAGAATATAAAACAAGCAGAGCACCCAATGGAATCGAAACGATGTGACAATAGAAATTCAGTAGAGAGAAGCGATAATGTATAAAATTGTGAGTTTTTGCCTGTAAAACAAATGGTGTTATCAAGTTATTGCATTATTCAAAAACTATGCTACAATATTTTGCGTAGCACACACTGCATGACAATGGATGAAATGTTAATGCGTAAATGTTTATATAACAGGAAGCCTAAATGATCCTGAAATCATTGTGATAGGAGCGATTACCCTAGAGAGAACCCAAGCTTCACATATATTACTACTATTATTATTAGCTAAATGGTGTAGTATGTGGTTCATTCCAAAATTTATTTGAAAGTAACAGAACGATGGAATCTTTGTCATTCGAGTAAATTTGTGTTGCATGAAAACTTTGTTCATTTAAGTAACACCAGGTCTCTAATGATGTGTCAAGTGAATCAAGTGAATCTGAAACACATCTAACAGAAATATTAGCTGATCATCAATGAAAGGCATTCAGAACACAACGACTACTGTGGCTTTCAATTCTGGCGCTGTAAAAGCCGCTTAACTTAATTTTCAAGCTTCTCCTGCTGTTGGAATTTCCACTCTGTGGGAGAGTGATTCTGGGAAAATACCCGTTGTATTTAATCTATATGGTAACAAATGAACTGAATGTAAGAGTGATATAAGTTATACTAACAAATGCACACATATTTTTAGCAATAGGAAATTTCAAAGTGCAGCAGTCTTAATTCATCTGCTTATGATAAAAGCCATCTGAGGCTACTCTGCAGTTTGACACTTGAAGTTCAAAGATCCGGACACGACTTCCAAACAAGTTGACAAGTAGACTTCAAGTCATCACACCCCATCAGCGCAAAAGTATCAGTTGTTTCAAGTCTTCTTAGACGAGCACACTCTCTGATAAGCGACGAGAAAGAAAAAGAAGAAGAAATTTCAAACACTACTGAAACTCTCAAGCAAAACAACTACCCATGGAACTTCATCAACAAAATCAACACAGACATTAAGTATGGCCGAAAACGCATTCCGAAAACATGGACATCAACAGTCGTCATTCCACATAGAGCAGAGACGTCAGACGATATCAGAAGAGTACTCAATCAGCTCGACATTAGAGTTTTCTTCAAAACATCAGACACACTTCAAAGCAATCTTGTCCATATAAAAGACGAAATCCCTGAAGACTCTCCATCTAATTGTGTTTATAAAATAAAATGCTTGGAATGTGATGCGATATACATCGGACAGACATCTCGAGAAATCAAAATCAGAAGAAATGAACACCGTAGAGCATTTCTTCGACCACCGAGAAATCCTGTTGAACTAGAAAAACTTGAAAAATCATCAGCCATAGGTCTACATGCTATAGAATCAGGCCACAAAATTGATTTTGACAATGTTGAAATAATCCAGAAAAACTTCAGAAATCACAAAGAACGTCTAATATCAGAAGCACTTCATATCAAGTGGAATCAAAATTGCCTGAATAGGAATGACGGACTAAAACAGGATCTGACCTGGTTACAACACCTCCCTCCCCCAATCAAGTGACAAAACCAACACGAATGTGATAAGCACTTTCATTATGTAAACACACGCTGCTTTTATAATCTTATACACTTATCAAATCCAACAATCTACACATGATGGTTTATCTTTACCAATTCACCAACTTGACAACTAAAAAAAATGCCCCAAGACAGACGAACGATGATCAAGTTAGTAAACTTTATTTTGATATCATAACAGACATATAATTACCTTTGTTATTTGGTTTAGTTATCTTCATCGCTATTTTTACTTTCAATATGTCCCTTTAACTTGACCTATGTCTATTTTATCACCCCCTAACTGTTTGTTATATATATGCTGAGATTTTGTAAATTCCGGTTTAATAATACTTTGATAAAGCTATTACCATTATATAGCGAAACGTCAGTAAAAACAGTATCGTTTTGTTTTTTATTCATTGGGAAATAAAAAAACCTTTATTATAATGAAGTTGACTTCTGGTAATCTAGTAATACATAATTGGCAAGATCAATAAACCCTATTTCACTATTTTCAATATTAAGTGGTGAATTTCGTTATTCCGTTAGTTAACGTGTTCACTTGAAAACACTTGGATAAGCGTTTTTACAAAGAAGACATTTGTGTGTGGTCAACTGTCTCTAGATATCTAAACTCAAACACATTTTTTGTCGATATTGATAAAAATAACTGGTTCTGGTCGAACCATTTTGTAGGTACATTTAGTTGAACGTAAACTCACTTGTTCACCTAACCGACAAATTACTGGGCCAATCAAACCACACTTTCTATCCATAAGAGAAACATTATCTGGCTACTTAAAATATAATATCATATATCATAATAAAATAAAATGAGTTCCGCTTACATCAATTATGGACAATGCTATTATGGATATGCCTGATATTGTGAAAGTTATTGGTACGATGATACATAGTAGTCCGCCAACCGGTGAACAAGCATTTCTCTCCGCAAGTCTTCTTCTCATCATTAAGTACCAAAACCATTGACTTATGATAACTAAAGTGAAAATGTATTCTATTTGTGTGAGCAATTAATTATCATCATTTGAATATTAAGAACCTACGAAAGATAAATTATCATGTGTCTGTGATTATTTGGTTAGATGGATGTCTCCAAAGGGTTAACTCAGAATGAGGATGTTCTTGAGACAGACGTGATGAATAGTGAGAAAGTAATGATAGTCACACTGAAGGTTTAAGATGTTAATTAGTAAATACAAGTATAACGGATGAAATGTGTGGAATTTGTCATGGATCAGTAATTCTCTGATCTCAATTACTCGGAGAACACGAGTGAATATCGATAAACACCGCCAACATAGATCGGTGCATCTTGAACTTTAAAGCCTATTCACGCACAATGTTTAAGATTGATGAAACCAGTTGAGTTATCACATGCAGCTACATCAATCACCATCATCTCTATTAATATCTCCTCTAAGAGAGTGTTCATTGAAACGCTAATCCCAGTAGAAGATGTGGCTCCAAGTGAAATCCTTCACAATCTCACTTCTCACTCATCTTTTCCGTTCATCTGTAAGTTTACTAATTAGTGGCGAAACAGTCTAGTATGAGTTAATCAGCAAAATATTTGTACATCACTGTGAGTAGAGTTGTTTCACTTATTATCAAGTAGTTTACATTTACATAAACAAACGTAAACACTTTCCATCCAGCTGAAAATATTCCTTTCAGAGATGAGAATTGTGAACTGATTTACCTAGGCTAGTTAATATACTTTTACTTAAGAATTTGTTTTTATAAATCCACCTTGAACACATTGTTGCAAAGATTAATGTAAACCACATAATTAGAAGGTCATAGTTTTCTTCTAGGTTAACTAAATAGGTATGTGTCCAACTCAGTTATCGATTACTTACATAGAAAATACAACTTTATCTTTTATTTACTTCTTAGAATATTTGAGCGATGCAGCTTTTGATAACTTTGTGAACCACTTGATTACATATTTTTGTCCGATGGCCACATCGATAAAATCCCCTGAGGAATGCCAATTTCACTGTTGCTCGACATAATATTGTCTCACAATTATGCGTCGTGTCTCAAAATGTCATGTCCATCTATCTATCTATCTATCTTTATATCACTGATCAATATATCTATCCATCTATGAATGATTAATTGAAATTCTTGTACCAAGTCAATCTACCTCATTCCAATCTATCGTAATTGATGTAACGAAGTCTCCTTGGCGGTCTGTTTGAATTTTTGGGCCTGCTACCATAAAATCTACATATTGCAGGCAACCTACCATTTACTCCTATAACTATTAAACTAAGTATTTTGAGTCCCAATAATAGACAATGCAGATACAGTTTATTAATAAAGTGGATATTCTACATAAAAGTTTCATGTGCTTACTTAGTACTCCAAATGATCCCATTGTAGACATAAAAATATATTTTTCCGGCGGATATAAACCAAAAGCGCTGAATAAAAGAAAATGGAGCTTTTAGTGTAAAGAGATTAAGTGTGTAGTGACAGTATCTTATTACCTAAGAAACATATCACATTCTATAGACAAACGCGGACGGTAATGGACAACATCCCGAATGGCGACATCAACATCTTAATGGGTCATATGAATGCAATAGGAGCATGGAGCAGACCATACAGGAAGAGAACTCATCATTGGTCGATAGGTGCTCGCTCAGCGAAAGAAATGAAAATGGAGAACTCTTCGCAGCCTTCTGCGTCTTCAATGCTTTGGTGATTGCAAGTGGCGTGTACTAATGTAAGGATATACACACGGTGAGCGAGATGGATTTCGCTTGATGGACACATCAAAAACTAGATATATTCCATCGCAATGCTGCTCAAAGAAGTGGAGAAACAGCCTGCCGGGCACAAAAAAGAGATAGGAAGCAGAAATAGGCCACACCATTATCTAGTTCAAGAAACCTTCAAGGTGAATTTGAAATCCTTCAGAACAACTGGAGACAGACCACTGTATTTCAAGTTCAACACTCAGAAATTGAAGGAAAAACTACAAATTAATCCTTCATTGCAGCCATCAGATCAAAGTCGAAGAAGCTTGAAGTTTCGGTAGCAGTGATGTTTGTTTTTACGTGATAGAGTTGCCAGCCTTACCCCCAACCTCCCCTCTTTACCAGTCTTATTACTTGCTTACTGAGGTAAAGGAGTGCGTTGGCTGAGAACCGAAACCTGGACTACATGCGTGATCGACGAGCATCCTACCGCTGTGCCACCGACGGACAGGAAAAATGATAAAAATCTACCAAATACGATGTAATGACTCTGAGGTCAATTACATAAGTCACACAAGTAGATCGGGGTCATCTAGGTTACTGGAACAAAAAATTTCAGCTAGACCTAGAATACTCCAACCTGGTAAGTTAAATAACCTAGAAAAAAGCTCAGGCATTGCACTGCATTCACTTACATGCAGTCTCAAAGGAGGGTAGACTAGGACAAGGTGAGAGTAATAAAAAGTAACATAGTTAGGTGTCAAGAGAGGCTTTGTTCATCGATTCAACACCGCATACGTGTAATCGGAATGACGCAACGCCTATACTGGAGATAAGGAAAGTGGCAGCAAACAAAAAATTAGTTGGATGAACAGAAAGAGAGCAAACATATACGAGACAAATTATGAGACAGTACGACTAAAATCGATATGATTATGAGCAACAATTTACTCTCGAAAGGTCATCCAGTTGTTAATACTGCATCACTGTATGATATTTATTAAAAATAAAAATATCTAATATGAAATTACATTACATTCCACAACAGTGCCAAAGATAAACACCTACATCAATGGGAAATATGAACGAAATAGATATGGTATTGGGCTTATATGAAGACTTCAGAATGCTCTTCAAGACGAACTCTCAACTGTACTTTCGAATTGTCAACCATTAAATAAGATAAACCATTCAGAAAATAAAAGCGTCCAAAGCATCTTATTCTGCACTGCCATGACTTATCCTAACATCGTGTAAAGTAGCTTTGCATGAATGTATAATATTATACCTATGCTTTGTGAAAATACAGCAATGTGCCACCCGTTTTTAGGTTTGTGTCACTACAAATTGCAGAAGAGATCCAGAAGTAAGTGTTTGATGCTTGACTTGAGGATGTCTTGGCAATTCGTTTGCCTTCTTAGCATTTGTTGTTTCGCTGACCATGTCTGAATAAGTACACAAAACCTCAATTAGATCGAACTCAATTTTCCTGAAAAATCACAGCTAAGGGGGTCACATGAGTAACCAGAACAGTTACAATCTTAGCTGCATATCTACATGCATTCATAAATATAATCTTCACTCACCTCACGTATGGAACAACTGCTTGTACATGGTCATAATAAGTCGCGATAAAATACCTGAAATAAAATGGGCAGATAAATATCTTGCAAATACTCCCTTTATACTCCCGCTAATTACCTTTAGATAGTAAGAAATATATCACCTTCAAAGTGCCATTTGATTATGTTTTTTGTGATTTCGTGGTGTAACGCGTTTCATCGACTTAGGTCGGCATCTTTAATCCCTCAGTAAGCAGTTCATATAGGATGAAATTACCTTACAAATTACACAATGATACTTTCAACTGGTTTTTTCACTATGTCCTACCTTTCCTGATTATCGAACTATTCCTGTGGAGATTCTTCGTCGGTTTGGAATACTACCTACCGTAGAACATCTAATACTTATATGTTAGAAAGTTAATTCACTTATGTGTTGATTTGTTATTTGCACTAATTTCATTATTTCTACTTTGATTTTTCGCAAATCAGCTTATGTGATATGCAAATATTTATCGGTTGAAAACAAAAAATGATTCAACTAATTTCAGCTTGGCATTCAAACTACTCGTATACAGAAAGCATTCGTTGAATTGCTCAATGCTACTCATCATTATTTCCTTTATGCTGTCGGTGACTTACATTTAATTGCTGTTACGGATAATAAAGCATACTGATTTGACAGAAATTTACCGAGGGTATCCGTTTACGAAAAATAGAAATATGAAACCGCTTTATGAATACACAGGGGACAATACAACCAGGTAAATAGTAGTCTAATTCAAAGTCCATTTGTACTTACGATACTGGCAACCAAAACAAAGCATGAATGACGGCAAAAAGTGGTATGCGAGATGGATAAAACTTGGGCCACTCCATTGGGAAAAGCTTTTGTATAATAAACTACCGGATATTTCTACATATGATGAAGCAAAAGAAGAGAAATAAGCACACACATATTTAATAATGTTTGTAAAACATTGTTAGTGTTATAACGACTTATTAGTCAGATTTCAGAAATCTAATTCAATACTGACTGACGCCAGATATCAACTATCCTTATGAGACGACAATTATTGCAACAGGGTGAAAAGAGGTTTTCTCTTTCAGAAATGCTGCGGAATTTTCTCATTTCAGCGTTTGTGGTGAATTCGGCACTTCAGAAGAGTCAGTTGTGACCTAGATTAGTCTAACTGCCATCAAGAAATGTTTAGTGGCACTCAAAACCCAGTACTTGCACAACAATTTGGATAGACCAGTGTTTCACTTTTATCCAGTCATTACCAGCAAACAGTAATTTGAAACAGAAGCTCTTATGTTACTCCTAACACTACTCGCACATTAATACACTGAGGCAAACACCTTACTTACAGGAAGTGATCGCAAACTGCAAGACTTCATTTCGAGTGACGTGGATGATTCCATAAACAAAAACAAAGAAGTATCATACACAATTAAACCTTTTATATGCACTATACACCACTTGCGGTTATCTCAGAAATCTTATCCAAAAATTCAGTTGATAAAGATTGGTTGAACCAAGAACATCCCTTCGATCCACTGTCAATGTTAAACGATAGTAGAAAGACTTCAAACGCTATAAATTTACTTGAGGCCTTTTGAATAATGTATTCAAAGTGCTGACAAGACTTTTGAGAGTAACAGCTATCCGTGTATGTTTCAAATGCTCAATCATGTTCGTGTAATTTCACATACTTCAAAGGAAAACGAATGAAGCTACTTATAGTAAACGTTATTAGTATTGACAGTTTAAAATCGCTGAATAACCGAAAACTTGATCAGCTCGTCTACAACATGAATGAAGCGTGGTCTGTTCCAGTAGAATTAATTTGACGTTGCTTTTAAACAGCCTCCAGAATGCGACTGTGGTAAATAATTTCCTGGCATTTCTAATAACTATTGACTAACGGAGACATCATGTGATTGATGTATATCAGTTTTATTTTGAATGAATGAATTAAACAGCCCAGAATAATTTCTGGATAACATATCCAGTTAATGTCGTCGTATACATTTGGCATCTCATTTAAAATTAACACATTTTGACAGTGGATGACATTACAGATTCATAAAGTCAAGTTTGTCAATAATTGAAGAAAAATGTCATGGGAAATTCGTTATTCTCTTGAAATAATTAATATATGGCGTGTATAAATTAGTTCTACTGAGGAAGGACCTTCTGAATTGAGTTTGCTCAAATTTTACTTGTTTAAGCAGTTTTCAATCAGTCTAATATGTATGTATATATATGTACCCTAAAACATCGCGTATTATTATGTTTGTCCACCGTATGAATGTTGTCTTCATGAAACCCCGTTATTCGCCTTTTCGTATTTTGGAAATCAACAATTGTTCATGATATGGAGATCTATATTCAGTCTGTCGATTGGCACTATCTTTCTTTAAATCAAACTATCAGTATTATATAGCTTTTATTATTTACCAGTTGGCATGCTTGTGAATACTTATTTTCTCTCTCGTTATGTGTTCTCTCTCAATCCATGATCACCGTAGCCTTACTGGTCACTCAATTTAATGTCAAGCAGGTAAATTAAGGAAAATATAAGAGTGGAAACAGTTATGTTAAATTCCTCCAAGCCGGACACATTCCACGAAAAACACATGCAAATTATGCAGTTGTTTATGCGCTCAGAAATTTCTAGTCTCCAATCATCCCAAGCTACACCGGCTGTAATAACTCCTCAGTAGATGGAATTTTGAATGTATTCCACTGTGATCTTGATGCCAATGTCATTTCTGAGACTTGATTGAGACGATTTGAAAACAATTTCAAAATAGATTTTGATGGCGAAGATGATTTTTGGAAAGTGCATCTCCTAATTCCGAAACCGGGTCCATCTAGAATTGACCAATATTTTAATATATTTCCTCTCCAAGGCACACTCGATCGAACCTTTGACGCCACACTGCAGACATCCAGACTACACTTTTGTGATCATTCCCTGCTCTTTAACTCATGATGTCGCTGTCTTAAGCCATCCAAGGACGAGAATGATGAATTTCTCACGCTTCTTCATATGTATCATTAACCTTAAATCTGACGATATGAGTTGAAATCTTTGACAGACGATCTATTAATTTCAATGATACTCATCTGTGGTCTGTTGTCACCCAGACTTTTTAGCATCAGTATGACGTTGCCTAGTAGCCACTAGCAAGACCTGATCATAACACTGAATAACATCTGTGCTGAGCATCAACGACTGACACACCTCCAGCATGATACACTCTGGTTCAATCAGCATGCTAGATACTAGAACCAACTACGATGGCGAATGCCTTCCGACAAAAAGACAACACGCAGTGGTATCCTAGATGCATTATTTAATCCAATGCGAAAAATGCCTTGGGACTAATGGCAGCAAAGTATCACCATGCTGGATTCGATCAACCAGGCGCAGGAAACAGAATATGGGCTTTCATGTTGACCCCACTCCATTCCGAAAGTTGAAGGTGATATGGGGATCTATATTCAAATCAATACATTACTACTATTATGCAATAGTTGACATGGGTGTGAATATTTGTTTCCTCCCTCTCGTCGTGTGTTCTCTCTCAATACATCATCACCTTGACCTTGCAAGTCATCCCATTTATTATCAAGCGTATAGCTAAAGAAAAATGTAAAAGTTCATTATAAACAGAAATGGCGTTTATTTCTGTCATAATCTGATTTCGTTTAGTTAGTAATATAACGTGAAAAATAATGTATGCTAAGCATGGTACAGCACTGGAAACTTTAAGATTTTTGTTTGAAGCAGCTCTATAACTCATTCAATAGTATGAAGTAAACAATATTTAGTACTGTTAAATAACATAAGCAACTACTACGTCTGGTCAAATTCTTAAATGAGAGATAGAGGTACAATTTTCAGATTTCAAACATCAGGATGTATAATAATCAAACAATCGAATCATACACTAACGGACACCTTTTGAGTAATCAATCACAATATAATTCATGTATTTTCAGCTCACCTGGTTACTGAGAGGTACAGTTCAATAGTCTAAATGACAAATATATTCCACTGTTGTTAGTGAACCGACCGTCTACACCTAGTCTAGAACTACAACAAAAGCGTTCATTTATACAATGATGTTAAGATTTTAGGCCAATTATAGATAAATAATATTCAGTATTCAGCTATACCACATAAAGCATACTAAGGCATTCATTAATCAATAATTTATTATCACAAATGAATCATAAAATGTGACCAATAAAATCAGTACAGTATTCAACAGAAAATGCACAAGTTAACCTGCTTTTGCTTTTCTGCAGCGACAAGCGATACGAAACAGGTTTCATAAGTAAATTCTTAAAAAAACTCTTAATTAAGTAATGAATGCTTTCTTGTCTTTGGCTTTGGTAGTTACGTTGAAAACCAAGACGAGAGTGTTTGAGAAGTTTCCTGTGCATCAAATAATCTTGAAAATCTTACTACTCACAGTAGTTCAGAAGGCACTGTCGTCAAGTCCTAGAGGTGAATTGAAACAGATGATTCCCCGTCACTTTCTATGCTTCTTCTGTGTGAGATCACCACATGACTGAATTAACCGTATGATCAGTCAAGTTTCCACAAACTGAACGAATGTGTGTTCTGTTGGTGAAAGTTAAAACTCGGACAAATTTTATTTGTAATCTTGCACTATTCTTTCTTGCTTACCTACATTCGGAATGAAAATCTATTCAGTGTTTAAGACTTTCCTTCTTCTTTGATCAGATAAATCGTTACTTCTTATTCTATGTACAAAGATGGAAAGGTGCATATTAGGCGTGTTTGCTTTATTAATCACACAGGGATTCACCATATTTTAACGTATAGCAGATAGATCAGTTCAGAATGTAACACTGAACTGAATCATTTTGAGCTATCACACTACTAAGTGGGACGATTATTAACAATGAAGGAGGTACACTGATATAAAATCAGGCTAACGTTTGCACAAAGAGAGACAAAAAAAATTTCGTCAGATTTTAGAAGAAATGTTCACCATTTCAAACATGTTTAAAAGAGAACAGAGTTGTACCAGTTTCATCGAACTTTAAATGTCTCAGCGGGGCTGTACAACCATCACTTCTTGTTCACATTTGCGAAACACGCTGAAATTATTTTCAACGAATTCTCAGTGATGTAATTCGGCTTGAAACTCTTATTGTTCCAGGATATTGTCAACATCAGTGGTTTGAATAGTTTCAAAATTAGTTCTTTATTTCTAAATGTTCCTAAACATGCATTCCAATGCATTTATCAGAGTTCAAACTAAAAGTTAGTGAATGCATTTATTTAGCCTGTTTTACTCTGACTAGGTTATTTGAAAAGGGATTATTTTATCGAAGCATAAATGTGATTCACTTTAAGCTAGCAGTCAAGAGAAAACGATCACCACACTCTCCTCTTGCAGATCACATCTATAGAAACAGTTCAGTTTTTAAGAAAATATCATTACTTCTCGTCATGCAGCGTCAGCAGAGACTCGATTCATTCATTTATCAAGTAACATCCAGGTGGTTCAAAAACCTTTCGCTTACACCTTCTTCATGAAGCCGAAATTTTAACTTTCCAAAATGAAAAACCTGAAATTGGTGTTCAAAAACACTTCATCAAACCTCGTTTACTACCATGTCTTTAGTGTCAGTTGTATTTTTTTGACTGGTTGTATAACAATCTCTGTCATCTTCCTACTTTTTATTATTTGGGACCCAATTTCAACTTTTCGCTCTCGTTCCCTCTTAATTATTTCTAAGTGACTATTCATCACCTAACCAACTGGTCGCTCATCTTCTCAATTGTGTGAAATCATTCACTGCCCATCACAGATTGTTATTTCTCATAGACTGATTCATTTTTGTTACTAACTGACAGTAATATCTGAACTTCATTGTGAATGAATACTGCAAATGTACAGCCGTAAATAACTGTACAGCTTTGAAGAGAAGTTACGAAGGCGATCTTTATGCTGATATATGTGTGCTTTTAGTACGTATCACACATGGATTGTTCATATCTTGAATAAACATCTGGTATCTAAAGTGCATGAAACGCAAGTCAAATATGCCTCAATTTGTTTTCCGTATTTTATTATTATTATTATCGTTATTATCACTAATATCCATTGTATTTCCATTTTGTGTGACTTTGCCGCCCACACATTCTATAACAGGCAGATGTTAATTTCACTCAATTTCGATTTTCCTGTCAATTGATTAGGCCAAAGTGCCCGGTGTCAGGGTGACATGTAGGCTGCTTGTGCAGATGCTTCGATGATATCTGGTCATGCAACTTGAAGTCAATTGGTTGAAGCGTCCCAAATAGAACGAAATGTGAGCTCCTGGTTTCCTCTGTTAGTCACCATCAGTCAACTGACTTCAGACAGATGTTGTATAAGGAGGAAATTCCAGAAAAGCTGAAGAAGAGCAAGACAATACCCATCAGTACATTCATAAGGATTATTCTATGAAAGCTTACGGAAAGCCATCCATAGCTAATGCGATATCGGCTGAACATTATTCACAGCTGCAGATTCTCATAAGAGCAGTTGGTCCAAGGTGAACAATGCCACCTGTTGGACTAAATACGTAGTGCAACAGTTTTTCATGATCTGACAAACTATAAAGATCTAACTGTTTTCTAGGCTTAAAATCCACCTGATCCTCTTCGTTTCAAAAAGATTTCAAATGACAGCTTCATTATTCTTGACAAAAGCTTTTCTACCCGGAATGATTAACGACCAGAAGCTGTCTGGTGAAAATATGTGTCTAAAACTTGGGCGATGTAGTAGGATGTCATTCCATATTATTTTTTTATTTATTAGCTATATCTCACAGTGAAAAAGTAGTAGTTACTGGATGACGTTTCGAACACAATTCATTGTTCATAATCATGTCAGTTATAATCACACGACTCCGATACTTCAGGTCTCAACTTCCGATTTATAGTTTTCCTTGTTTTCTCCTATTTGTCGTATGGGTAACAGAATTCTCTAGATATCTGGGACAGGTGTTGAATCATTCCTATTACACGTGTTTGCAGTTGATTCGATAAACAAAGCTTCTATAATCAATCTCTTATTCCACCCTGTTACATTAGATTTTAAAACTGTCATCTTATCCTCTCCTATCGTATGTTTGCATGTAATTGCATGAAGTGAGTGCTATCTGCGGCTGAACTATTCTCCAAATTTCTAATCTTGTTAGGGTCAACTAACCTAGATTTTTGCGCCCTGCCACCCTGACTGCCCCAGTTCTACTACTCTGACCTATGTATTTGAACTGACAATCATCCCAACAGGGTATTGGATAAACTCAATTGCTTCACTTGATTGACTCCACAGCGTCAATCCTTTGACAAAACCGACAAAACTTGTTTCTAATTGAGTTTGTGGGTTTGAAAGCCAGTTCTATTTCTGCATTGTAAAGAACTCTCCGTAAGTTTTCCGAAGTTCCTCCATTGTATGGAAGTACTACTGATGATTTAAACTCCCTATAGCAGCTATTGTCATTATACCGTGGATGTTTGAGATACATATCATCATTACATTTTTTATTGTTATCACTGTCCTCACCATTATTAATAATTTTATTTTTACATTTTTCTACATACTCCCTGATTTATTTGTTGGGGTAATTATTAAGTTCCAAAGCTTCTCTTATATGCCTCACTTCCTGTCTTAGATTTTCCTTGGTGCTACTTAGTTTTTGTGCCAAATTACTTGAACATTTCACCAATCCTCTTTTTACTGACATAGAGTGGGATGATCTGAAATCCAAATATCGGTTTGAATGTGTTGGCGTCCTGTAAACATTGATGTTTTACTTCCACCTTCTTATCCATTCACGCTACAATCTAATATCGGAAGCTTCTCTTCCCAACCCAAGACTGCCTTTGTCGTGCCCACTGGATATATTGAATTCAAAACCATGCCATTTGGCCTGTTGAATGTCCTCGCTACGTTTCAACGGCTCGTGCGAGCAAAGACTGCGGGTTTAGTTCCTAAACGGTGCCTCATCTATTTGGACGACATCACCGTGTTCGGCAGTTGCTTGAATAGCATCTTGCATGCCTCGAAGCCGTGTTTTGACATTTAAGGGAGAGTAACGATAAGCGAAAAGCCTCAAAATGTCATTTCCCGACGAAGGCTGACACATTGCGTGGTCATAAGATTACTCCATAAGGGGTAGCACAGGTAGAAGCAATATGCAAGCGTTCCTGAACCGGCCCACATAGAAATCGACAGCACATTTATGCAGATTTTGGGTCTTGCTTTATATTACTACTGTTTCGTTCACAATTTTGTCAGTGTGTCAGCCTCTCTTCGTCAATTAACGCCAAATTGACAGAAGTTTGCTCGGACTAGCGGTTGTTAGGTGATATCCAGTACGGTCTTATCATTTCCAGATACATTGCCTAGTAGCGGCCATTTCATCCTGGATACTGACGCTGATGCACAGGCGATAGCATCTGTTCTCGCACAGGTCACGTCTAACAGGCAAGTGTGAGTTATAGCATACGCTAGCCGGACTCTGGACAAGAGAGATATGCGGCATTCCACGAGTTACCGTGACATGTAAGCTGTTGTGTATTTCTTCAATTAATGCATGGATATTCCCCATCCAGGCATTAATGAAAGCAAAACACGTAGTTCAGCGAAGAGTCTCTTTTCGGTGAATTCATTTTCTTACCTGTGCAATCACGAATATGTCCGAGATATTTTGTATGTATCTTTATACTGAGTTTTTCGAATAGAAATACAACTGGTCATGTTTAGTTTAACTAAACAGCTGAAAATAAGTAAGTTTTGGTTGAGTTACGTAACACAAAAACGGTCAAGAAAATTGGGTGTTAATGGAACTAGTGTAGTAACAAAGGTGATGAGTTGTCAAAAACAGTTGATAGAAAGGAATTACGTAGTGACACGGATAGTTTGATGAATAAATTGTACTCAGGATGCATATAGAAAAAGAGTAGAGAATACGAAGTTACCTAAGGGCTTCAAATGAGTGCTAGAACTATATGCATTTGAAGAAACAGGCAAACAAACAAAAGTAAGTCAAAATTCAACAA